AGTCCGTTTAAGGGGTCTCCGCAACCCTAGAACATATGCAAACCTGCCCACTCTGGGATTCAGCACCAGGACAGCAGCAAGAAGGCGCCTAGTTCCATACAGAAGTGGGGGAAGTGACTGGAAATAGGGCAAGAGCCTAGCATGTGGCATTGTTCCTTCTCCCATGCCTCCTCCACATACAGTGCCACAAAGTGGTGAAGTGGGTTGCCCCATCCTGGAGAATAATTGAAGCTTTGCTTCTTACAATGTAACAGGTGCACCAAGATGGAGTCAAAGCAGCTCTTCCTAATACACAGAAACAAGCACAAGGAGGCTGCCAAATTGAGGAGACAAAGAAATATGGCCCAAATGAAAGAACAAATCAAAACTCCAGAAAAAGAACTAAGTGAAATGGAGATAGCCAACCTATCAGATGCAGAGTTCAAAACATTGGTGATAAGGATGCTTAAAGATCTCGTTGAGTACAGCAAATGCATAAGGGAAGAAATGTAGGCTACACTAAGTGAAATAAAGAAAAATCCACAGGGAACCAACAGTGAAGGGAAGGAAGCTGGGGTTCAAATCAATGATTTGGAACATAAGGAAGAAATAAACAATCAACCAGAACAGAATGAAGAAACATGAATTCAAAACAACGAGGAGAGAATAAGAAGACTCTGGGACATCTCCAAACATGCCAACATCCGAATCATATGGATGCCAGAAGGAGAAGAGGAAGAGCAAGAAAATGAAAACTTACTTGAAAAAATAATGAAAGAAAACTTCTCTAATTTGGCATAGGAAACTGACATACAAGTCCAGGAAGCACAGAGAGTCCCAAACAAGTTGGACCCAAAGAGGGCTACACCAAGATATATCATAACTGAAATGCTTAAAGAAAGGTTAAAGATAAAGAGAGAATCTTAAAAGCAGCAAGAGAAGAGAGTTACCTTCTACCTCCTCAAAAGAGTTCCCATAATATTACTTTAATAAACTTATAAAAATAAAGGTGATGTCAAAAGCAAAACTCACATGAACTCCAAGGTCATCTCAGGCCACAGTCCTTAGTCTGGGCCTGTCAGCTAGACTGAAACAATTTTTTAAAAATATATATTTTATTAATTATGCCATTATAGTTGTCCTATTTTTTCTCCCCTTTATTCCCCGCTGCCCTGCATCCTCCTCCCACCAGTGTTCCCCTCTCCCCTTAATTCATGTCCATGGGTTGTACATATAAGTTCTTCAGCTTCTCCATTTCCTATACTATTCTTAACCTCTCCCTGTCTATTTTGTACCAACTATTTACGCTTCTTATTCCCTGTGCCTTTCCCCCATTATTCCCCTTCCCTGCTGATCTCCATTTCTGTGATTCTGTTCCTGTCTGAGTGGTTTGCTTAGTGTTTTTTTGCTTTGTTTTTGTTTTAGGTTCAGTTGTTGATAGTTATGAGTTTATTGTCATTTTACTGTTCATAGTTTTTTATCTTTTTTTCCTTAAAAAAGTACCTTTAATATTTCATATAATAAGGGCTTGGTGATGATGAACTCCTTTAACTTGACCTTATCTGGAAAGCACTTTATCTGCCCTTCCCTTCCAAATGATAGCTCTGCTGGGTAGAGTTATCATGGATGTAGGTCCTTCCCTTTCATGACTTTGGATACTTCTTTCCAGCCCCTTCTTGCCTGCAAGGTTTCTTTTGGGAAATCAGCTGACAGTCTCATGGGAACTCCTTTGTAGGAAACTGTCTTCTTTTGTCTTGCTGCTTTTAAGATTCTCTCCTTATCTTTAATCTTGGGTAATGTAATTATGATGTGCCTTGGTGTGTGTTTCCTTCGGTACAACTTTTTTTTTTTAAATATAAAAAATAGAGATATTTATTGAAGAAGATACAAGATACAGGAAACATTGTACATAGGACAATGATGCCTCAGGCTCCATCAGAGTAGGCACCTTGGGACCTCACACAGTTCTCCCAGTGTCTTTTCCATTGTTCAAAACACTCTACAATATCCTTTGTTGGAATTGCCATCAGCTGCCCCGTCTTTTTTTTCCCGAATCTCATCAATGGTCTGAAATCTCTTCCCTTTAAAAGACGGTTTTAGTTTTGGGAAAGGCCAGGAGTTACAGGGCACCAAATCTGGGCTGTAGGGGGCAGAGTCACTAGGGTGATTTGATGTGTGCTTCCTTGGGTACAACTTCTTTGGGGCTCTCTGAGCTTCCTGGATCTCCTAGAAGTCTATTTCCTTGGCCAGATTGGGGAAGTTCTCCATTATTTTTTCAAATAAGTTTTCATTTTCTTGCTCTTCCTCTTCTCCTTCTGGTACCCCTATGATTTGGATGTTGGAATGTTTAATGTTGTCCTGGAAGTTTCTAAACCTCTCCTCGTTTTTTTTGCATTCTTGTTTCTTTGTTTTGTTCTGGTTGAATATTTATCTCTTCCTTCTGCTCCCAATCATTGATTTGAGTCCCCGTTTCCTTGACTTCACTATTGGTTCCCTGTATATTTTTCTTTATTTCACTTTGTATAGCCTTTGCTTTTTCCTCCATTTTGCGACCATTTCTGTGAGTATCCTGATTACCAGTGTTTTGAGCTGTGCATCTGATAGGTTGGCTTTCTCTTCATCGCTTAGTTCTATTTTTGGAGCTTTGACTTGTTCTTTCATTTGGGCCATGTTTCTTTGTCTCAGCATGCCTGCTACATTGGAAGGGGTGGAACCTTAGGTATTCACCAGGGTGGGGGAACTCATACTGCTGCATTATGATGCTATGTGTGGGAGAGGAGTCAGAGAGGGAACAATGCCGATTGCTCTGCTCTTAGCTTGCTTTAGACTGAGCCAATTCTGAGATTAGGAGATTCACTTGTGGTCTGGGGAAGGAGAGCAGAGTCCAGGGTTTAGGAAGCCAGTATGTAAATTCCCCTTGAGTTACTTCTTAGAGTTTTAGGATGTTTGATGATTTATTAAGCTTGTTGAGGCTTAGTTTATACTTATGTATAAAATGAGAATAGCAATGATACACACTTCAAAGAAATGTTGAAAAGATGAGATCACACAAATAAAAGTACTTAGCCCATTACTATCTGCCCTAATGGGTTAGGCACCCAGGAAGCACTCAATGAATGCAGGCCATCAAGGCTGATCTTTGCATTATTGCTAATGAGAATATCTCATAAATATATTATTGTAAAATGTCCTGCATTTTCACACACATGTAATAATTAATACTTTCAAAATAGAGCTTCTTATTCTATTTTGTGGCTTATTCCCAAAATAATCCTAGAGGAGGGCAGGACAGAAATGATTACCCTAGTGTTGCAGTTAAGAAAGTAGAGGCTTAGAGAAGAAAAGGGTTTGTTAAAATTTATCAGCTAGGACAAGGATAGCAGGGAATATGGCTCAAGTCTCTGACTCCAGTCCTCTGTACACAGCTCCCTGGGCAGAACTAAGAGGTGAAGAAACCCAGAGAAAAGAAATGGGAGCCACCTGCCCATGAGAGAGAGCAGGAGGGTTCTGTTCTTGTCTAGTCTGGTCTAGTGTGTTCACTTGTGTGTTGCCTGGGACCATGTGGATTTTGCACCTGCCTAGGTTGTGGCCTGAGGTCTGAAAAGCACTGTGCAGTAATAATGCTCCTCAAGGCCAAGTCAAGGGCCTGTTACTTCAGAGCCAGCTGGGAACAAACATTGTTGTTTGTTTAAATTTTTTATTTCAGAAAAATTTCAAACATATGGAGAAAGAGAGGTAGGGGTATGATGAACCATCAGTGCTGAGCTCACAGCTTCTACAACCTCATTTCATCTACACTTCTGGCCATTTTCAATGCTCCATAATTTTTTTAAAAGAAAATACTTGGGAAATTAATAACTAATAGAGACTCCCCAGACTCATGTCTAGCTGAAGTGGCTGGGATGTTTTGTTTTCATCCCCACACCCCAAGTGATGTGGAAGGACAGACATCCCTGGAGCCAAAGAACTGGGTGACTTGTGAGGGTCCAACCATCTGCAAGTATAGGATTCTGTAAGTGACACCTAGGCTGTGGGTTCTGTGAAGGGAAGGAGCAAACCCTTCAGGTGTGCAGGCACACAAGAGTCTGTCACAGGACACAGGGCCGTCCACAGATACAGTAGCAAGAGCAGAAAGGAATGAGATTGAAGGAACAAGGCTAGTCCTCCAGGTCTGCCACAACATTCTATTCTGGGCTGGTCACTCTGCAGTCAAATAATGAGTATTATTTACGTTTTTCCTCCATTCACCCATTCCCTCCTCATGGGCAGGAGGTCTCTGACTCATTTTGTTCCCCAGAGCCTAGCACAGTAACTGTGAACTCAGGTGAATCATGTGAAATTGGTAACATTTGACAGGATGTTACCTGGAAACTTTACAATCAAAATATCAACTTTGTGATTCTACCTCATATACAGTAGGTATTCAATAAATGTCCAATGAAAGAATAAGCATAGACAGGGTTAGAACAGCTCTGACATACCGCTACCAAGCTAGTATTTCTAGTTAACCCAACAATAGCACAAGGTTGCTATATCCCCATTTACAGATAGGAAAATGGCATAATGCATCTGGACATGTTTAACACAGTGCTAGTAATCACTGCATGTTCAATGTGTGGGAATGATTATTATTGTTACTGCTCCCCAACACCAGAGTCATGATTTGAACCCAGGCCTGCCTGGCTCCAATCTGGCTGTCTTTCTAGGCAGTGTCTGTCTTGGAAAAGCAGTAACCAAAGGTCTTTGAAAGTAGACCAAGGCAACACGGTTTGCACAAGACCATGTTAAAAATAAACATAATCCACTTGGCAAGTCCCAGACAAGGAATAATTTCAGGGTAAGGGACAAAACTGAAAGAGCTGGTCTGAATTTTTAAACAGAGCACTGCAGTATTTCAAGGAGAATAGATGCTGAGGACCTGTCTCTTGCTGGTGCTTCCATCTACACTGAGTGCAGACAAGCCAAGTTCAGACTGGTTGGCCACACAGACACTGCCGAGGCAAGAAGATGGTTCCTCTTACCTCTTTGCTCTGTCTTTCTCATCTTCATCCATTAGATTTTCTATGTAGTTTTTCCTGCAAAAGAGAACAAATGATTACTGTCTGCTTCTAGTGCTTTCTTACAGATCTTTCTGGTTGATCTCATTTTAGTCTTATCTCACCCACATGCCTTGGTCCAGAGGTACTCAAACCTTTAGGTCCAAACAACCCTTTGCATACTCACAAATTATTGAGGAATTGAAAGAGCATTTGTTTATGTGGGTTAAAACTGAGAGATCTTAAGGATACAGCACTTATTCCATTAGCCTCAGAGTGATGCATTCATCAGATGTCAGGCAGGTAATATTAGGAAAACTGTTTTGACATTGTGGGCCTCCCAGGGGACCTCAGATCACACTGAGAGCTGCTATCTAGACCCAGTTGAATGAAGCATGTGTTTACCTCAGCCTTAAATCTGCAGATTTCCCATGGCATTCTAAAGGTGAGCACTGATTTGTTTATCTGTTCTTTTAAATACACAAACTTCTCTTACAATACAGCCTGGAGGAATGGGGTCCCAGAAGGAATATAGTCCATAATTCTTCCTTTAAGGCACTCACAGTTCTCTAGATAGTAAAGGCACATAGATGTGAAAATGTTCTTGCAGCCCAAAGTCATCAGAGGCTACCTTACCACCTGCAACTTTACTCTCCCAGGCCACAGTGCACAACTGATCTGTGTGGAGAGAAGGCACCTAAGCCAAGTTTCCTGGTAACATCTCCAACAGAAGCTCCATGTATGCACTGTTTTTTCACACCTATTGTAGCCCATGCCTTTACTCTGTTTTTTGTTTTTGTTTTTTACTTAAAAAATTGTGGTGAAGTACACATAACATAAAAGTTGTCATTTTTAAATTACAGTTCACTGGCATTAAGTACATTCATATTGTTGTATAAGCGTCACCACCGCTTATCTCCAGAACTCTCCATCTTATAAAACTGAAGCTCTGACCATTAAAGCTCTCCAGTCCCCCTCCACCAGCACCTTGCAACCACCATTCCACTTTCTGTCTATGAACTTGACTGCTCTAGGGGGCTCTCTAAGTGGAACCACAGAGTAATTGTCCTTCTGTGGCAGGCTTATTTTCATTTAGCATAATGTTCTCGAGGTTCATCATGATATAGTGTCTGTCAGAGTCTCCTTCCTTTTAAAGGCTGAATAATGTATAACTACCCTTTGTTTATCCAATTGTTCATCAATGGAGACTGAGTTGCTTCCACCTTTGACTACTGTGAGTGGTGCTGCTATGAACATGGGTTTATCTCCTCCTTATATTTTTGAGTCACTCTTTTACCTCTTAATGTGGAAAATCTGGAAGGGCCCAATGAAACACACAGAAGAGGGTCAAAGGGAAGAAAGTCAGTCCTAGGAGGCCATGTTAAAGAAACAATACAGAAGTCTAAGGGATAACAACTACTCTTCTCAACTTTATAAAGAGTTTCCAATGAGAAGAATTTTGAGCAGCTTTTTATTTTTTGTGACCAGAGTACCAAGGAAGAGAAAGTGAGCTTTTATAAGGATGCTCAAGGAACTCACAGACAACTACAAAGAACTGAGTGAGAACTACAACATTATGAAAATGGAAGTAGAAACTATAAAATATAACTATTCCAGGAAGAAATGAAAAATACAATTTCCAAAATAAAAACACCCTAGAAGGAATTACAAGCAGACTGGATGAAGCAGAGGACTGAATTAGTGAGCTGGAAGACAAGGTAGATAGAAATATCCAGGTAGAACAGCTGCACAAAAAGACTAAAAAAGTATGAAGACAGTTTAAGGGAACTGCAAGACAACATGAAATGAAACAACATTCGAATCACAGGAATACCAGAAAGAGCAGAAAAAGAGCAAGGGATAGAAATTCTGTTTGAAAAAATAATGACAGAAAATTTCCCAAACCTGGAGGGGGAAAACACCATGAAAACTCAGGAAGCACAGGGAGTCCCAATCAAGATGAACCCAAAGAGGCCCACTCCAAGACACATCATAATTAAAATGCCAAATTTTAAAGACAAAGAGAATCTTAAAAGTAGCAAGGGAGAAACAAGAAGTAAAATACAAAGGAACTCTGATAAGGCTACCTGCTGATTTCTCAACAGAAACACAACAAACCAGAAGGGAATGGCAAGAAATATTCAAATGATAAAAGCAAAGATGTGTAAACAAGACTACTCAACCCAACAAGACTCTAAATTAAAATGGAAGGTGAAATGAGGAGTGTCTCTGACAAAAGAAGGCTGGAAGAGCATACCTCCACCAAACCAGCACTGCAAGATATGCTAAAGAGACTGCAACAAGAAGATGAAGAAAACTTGAACAGTCACTTCTCCAAGGAGGATATAACCAGGGCCCAGAGACACATGAAAGGTTGCTCAGCATCACTAGCCATCAGAGAAATGCAAATTAAAACCACAATGAGATACCACTTCACACCAGTCAGAATGGCCATCATATATAAATCAACAAACAACAGGTGCTGGCGAGGTTGTGGAGAAAAGGAAACCCTAGTACACTTTTGGTGGGAATGCAGACTGGTGCAGCCACTGTGGAAAAGAGTGTGACATTTCCTCAAAAAGCTAAAAATGGAACTTCTTTTTGACCCAGTGATTGCACTGCTGGGATTATACCCTAAGGAATCCCAAAACACCAATTCAAAAGAACCTATGCACTCCAATGTTCATAGTAGCACAATTTATGATAGCCAAGTGCTGGAAGCAACCTAAGCCCCTATCAGTAAATGAGTGGATCAAAATACTATGGTACATTTATACAATGGAATACTACACAGCAGAAAGGAAGAAAGAGCTACTAACCTTTGCAACAGCATGGATGGAAATGGAGAAAATTATGCTAAGTGAAATAAGCCAGGCAGTGAAAGACAAATACCATATGATCTCACCTATAAGTGGAACCTAATCAGCAAAGCAAGAAGGCAAGGAAAATGTAACCAGCAACATTGAAAGAAAGAAGAAACCAACAGGGATGTGAGGGAGGGATGGAGGGAGGGGGTAATGGGGAGGGGAAGGGGAAAGGTCAGATCAAGGTACAGGTATAAACGACACATGGATGAAGCCAAGGTGGGGAAGGATTGAGGGGAAGAGGTGTGGGTGGGTGGGGCAAAGGAAAGTGGTGGCGGGAAAATGGACACCAATGTATTTGAACAACTAAAAAAATAAATTTTAAAAAAAGAAGGTGAAGAAAAAGAGTGAGACAGAGAGGAACACAGGTACAAAGGGGATAAATGAAAAAGTACCTATCAATAATTATCTTAACAGTTAATGGAGTAAGTGCTCCAATGAAAAGACATAAGGTAGCTGAATGGATACGGAAATATGATCCACACATATCCTGCCTACAAGAGACCCACCTCAGAAAAAAAAAAAAGACCTCAACAGATGGAAAGGGTAGGGTTGAAAAAAGGTATTCCAAATAAGTGGACAGGGGGAAAAAAAACCAGGGTTCCAATACTTATATCACAATAAATAGATGTCAAAACAAAAGCCATAAAGAGAGACACTGAAGGACACTTTATAATACTCAATGGAAGAATCCATCAAAAAGACATAAACATTGTAAACCTACATGCACACAACATAGGAGAACCCAAATATATAAGAAAAATCTTGGAGGATGTCAAGAAAGATATAGACACTGACACACTTATACTAGGGCATTTTAATCCCACACTGTCAATAATGGATATATCTTCCCAACAAAATGTCAACAAAGATATTGAGGCATTGAACAATGCCCTAGGTCACATGGACTTCACTGACACATATAGAACCTTTCATCTCTAAGAAGCAAAATCACATTCTTTCAAATGCACATGGAATATTTTCAAAGATAGACCACACAATAGGACACAAAACAAGCCTCAAAAAGTTCAGGAAAATCGAAATCATAACAAGCATTTTCTCGGAACATAAGGGCATGAACTAGAAACCAACCTCAAGGAAAAAACACTATTTAAATAATAAATAAATTCATGGAAATTAAATAGCATGATATTAAACAAAGAATGGGTTAATAATGAGATGAAAGAAGAAATCAAAAAGTTTCTGGAAATAAATGAAAATGAACCCACAACCGTCCAAAAGCTATGGGACACAATGAAGGCAGTCCTGAGAGGGAAGTTCATAGCAATACAGACCTACCTAAAAAAGATAGAAAAATTTCAAACAAACAACCTAATCCTACATCTATAAGAACTGGAGAAACAACAACAAACAAAGCCCAAAGCAAATAGAAGGAAGGAAATAATCAAGATCAGAGCAGAATTGAATGACGGAGGCTAAAAGAACAATACAAAGGATCAATTAATCCAGAAGGTGGTTCTTTGAAAAGATAAACAAAATCGACAAGGCTTTAAGCAGACTCATCAAGAAAGAAAGGGAGAGGACCCAAATAAATAAAATTAGAATTGAAAGAGAAATTACAACTGATTCCACAGAAATACAAAGGATTGTTAAGAAATTACTACAAACAACTATATGCCAAGAAATTTGAAAACATGGGTGAGATGGACAAATCCTAGAAAGAAGAAGCTGAAAGCCTGAACAGATCGATAACATCTGGTGAAATTGAAGAAGTAACAAAAAAACTCCCAGCACACAGAAGCCATGGACTGGATGGTTTCACAAGAGAATTTTTCAAAACATTTTGGAAGAGCTAAACCCTATCTTTCTCAGGCTATTCCAAAAAATCCAGGAAGAGGGAAGACTCCCAAACTCTTTTTATGAGGCCAACATCATCCTAATCCCAAAACCAGATAAAGACACAAAGAAAGAAAACTACAGGCCAGTATCACTGATGAACATAGACATACATTATAATCCTCAACAAAATATTGGCAAACCACATCCAGCAATACATAAAAAGATCATCCATCATGATCAAGTGGGATTCATCCCAGGGATGCAAGGATGGTACAATATTTGGAAATCAATAAATGTAATACATCACATAAACAAAAGGAAAGACAAAAACCATATGATCATATTAATAGATGTGGAAAAAGCATTTGATAAAGC